TGTGTGTGTGTGCCGAATGCACTGCCGCAATTTTCGACGGATTTGCACCAAAATTTACATGCACATGCCCCAAGTTAGCGTAAAGGCCTAGAACGACGTTGCATTTCCCAACTCCCATCGATAGTGGAAATAATCGATTTTTTCATGCTTCTATGGCAGTTTTCATGTAGTTAGCGGCCATGTTGTACTGTCCAGAATGAGAGCCAATAGCTGGCTGCCACGAATAGGCAGATATATTCCATTGGCCAGCGTGAGAGCCAACAGCTGAATGACACGAATGTTAACTAGCATGCAAAAACATCGATAGCTACATTCGTCACAAGTGGGAAAAATTTAAATCTGCGTGTCACTTTACTCCAATTGGCACATTCTCTTGCTTAAACTCAACGTTGATTCTGATTCCGCAGAACTGGGTTGGGTGTGAAAAAGTATTTGTGGTTAACATTCTTTTTTCATTCGTTTTTTTCTTGTTACGTGTCCTTTTTAAAAGCTGATCGTTTTGTGTTCATTTTCTTTAGTTCTTTTTTCGTAACAGATTTAATGTTTAGTATAGTGCTTAGAAAAATTCGCAGTGTGAGAAAGGCAAGAAGTAAGGCATCTAGCAACATCAGCACTGCAGAGGGCACTCCTTTAAAGGCAAGGAATCGCAAAAATATTTTAAGTCAAGTGATGGCGATTGCTGTATGCGTCGTACGATTTTTGAATCAAGCCCGGGCAACGCCGGGCCATGCTGCTAGTATTTTAGAAATTTCAACCGACAACACTATTACATCTTCGGTCACTGAATGCTGTTTTTTTTATCTATATGAGAAAAGAATTTATCTCACCATTACCAGTTGATTATTATCACCATTATTTACACTTTGATCACATTTTCCTTTAATATCTGATGGAAGGAGAACCCCAAAATGCAAGTACCTGCCTCTATTTTCAACTAGCTTAAAATCAACCCCCCGTGCGGACCTTTAAACTAGATCCTGTTGGCCTCCGGTCCAAAAATAAAGAGACCTCTGATCCAGCTTAGAAAACAGCGATAATAAGCTAGAATAAATATCGTTGAATTCCTCCACTCACTCCATGGAACTTCAAAACCTGACATTAACACTCATTTGTGCTATAAGCCAAATTCTAGTGAAAAGCCAATTTGAACTGAGTCTTTGTTTTGGGCTGAAATTCTACATCAGGCCTAAAATTGTGATCTTCAAATCACAAACACTGTGGAACTTCATCTGAGTTGAGTTTTCCAAATTACAATATATATATATATATATATATATATATATATATATATATATATATATATATATATATATATATTGTCATCCACAGACTGACTGTTTCGCTATATCACAGCTCATCAATGTGGCTAGACGTCCGGTTGTCACAAGCTAGGATCGAAAAACGACTGAATTAGAGTCATATATTTATGATACACTGTTACATTAGAACATGTAAGTTACTACTACAAAATTGTATATTTTATTCCGACGTAGAATAAACAACGTCACATGAGGTAGTTAACAAAGATGGAAATAAACAATTTTCTTTAAAATTGCAATTTATGAAACATCACATCATTTTCTGATTTTGGAATATTTTTTGTACAGTGTAAGCTTTCTTTTGATTTTCTTTTCTTTCCTCTTCCGATTACTTTTATTGATTACTTTGTTACTTTACTTTTTTCTTTATAAAAATCCTTTATACCTTGTACGGAAAATTTTACAAGAACGAAAAATGAAGTGATGTTTAATAAATTGAAATTATAAATAAAATCGTTTATTACCATCATTGTTAAGTACCTGATGAGACGTTGTTTATTTTCAACGTCGAAACAAAATGTACAGTTTTGTAGTAGTAACGTACATGCTCTAATGTAACAGAGTATAATAAATATATAAATCTTGCTCTACTTTTGTTTTGATCCCTGTTTAAAAGTAATGTTTTGAACGTTGCAATTTTATTCTTCGTTGTTTTAAATTTCGATATATATATATATATATATATATATATATATATATATATATATATATATATATATATATATATATATAGAGAGAGAGAGAGAGAGCGATTAAGAGAAAGAGAAAGTGATAGATAGATTGATAGATAGATAGATAGATAGATAGATAGATAGATAGATAGATATGTCATGAATGAAATAATTTACCCAGTGTTTCGCTGAAACCATTAATGTATTGATTTTTTATTTCATAGTCAGTAAACAACCTCAAACTAACATCTGAAGTAAGTCAGGAGACTTAATGAATTTGCACATTTTACAATATAAGGTACAAAAAAAAAAAAAAAAAAAAAAAAAAAAAACACGCATAAGACCAAAGTGATGTTTCAAAAATATATGTACGTACACCGACAGTAAATCTTGTAGGAAGACAAGCAGTTTACTTCAAATACATAATATAGGAATACTATATGAATTATAGTCTTCATGACGATATATTAACTCCCTATACTGTGTTTTAATAAAATCAATGAAAACGCATCAACTCCGCGAGTAACAACGAATTACTCAACAAAGAAAAGTTTATGTGATACTATCAGTATTAATATGGTAATGGCAATGCTAATATTAGCCGTCCCTTTTTGTGGAGACGTTCACATTCATTGCATCAACAGCCATATTCATTGTGGTTTTAAATGTATTAAATATTTCTATAAACAGTTTTTCGGAAAATAGGTTTTTCATGTTTATTAACTTTTATCGCTCTCACTAATATTGGGGAAGTTTTCCTCACTTCAGCTATCAGAAGTCACTTCAACTAAACAATGTTTAATGTAAACGAAGCCACAAATAACGTTCCTATATAAAAGGCATTGCCCTCATCAACAAAACGACAATGACCTCATCTCGACACTCAACAATTACTGAAACAAAGAAAATAATAAAAACAACCTCACCTGCCAATGTACTTTAACAACCTTCAGGTGAAGAAAAAAAGAGAAATATGTCTAATATTTTAACTAGCAACTAAATGAGAAGTCGGATACCTCCGATGTCAATGCAGACATTAAAAACATTACGATAAATTATCCAATGCAATGACAAACATCTGTTTGAAAACAAGACAAATACATTATGTATTCCTATGCTGTATTTCTCTTTCTGTTTCCAGCGTTTTAACTCTCTTTTCATTATTTTATATATCAGTCGAAAAATCTGACAAAGCTCGATTTTAAACCTTCATGTTTCGCTAGAGAAGAAAACAAGTTTCTGACGTTGTCTTGAAAGCGATATTCTAGGTATGTCTGCAATTGTTACAGATCATTTAAAATGGGTTTTGCACGTCAGCATGAACGGAAAGCTTCAGTATTATAAAAAAAATATAAAAATGCAGGACTCAATTCGAAAACGAGGCTCAGCTAAGTCATATATCTCCTATTTTGTTTCATCCGACAGAGAAAAAATAATTCCAAACTTTCGTTATAGCCTGAGAATCATCGTTTCTCACGCATGGATATATTCCTTTTAATTGTTTTGCACAATACACAGAGCTAAGCACGCACACACACACACACACACATATATATATATATATATGTATATATATATATAGCATACACTGTTACATTAGAACAAGTACGTTAAAACTACAAAACTGTACGTCTTGTTTCGACGTTTTATGAACACGACTCATCATGAATTTAACAATGATGGTAATTAAGGATTTTATTTAAAATTTCAATTCATGAAATATCACTTCATTGTCCGCTTTTGCAAATTTTCTGTACAATGAAAACTTTCTTTTGATTTTCTTTTCTTTCCTCACCCTTTTCCTGTTATTGACTTCTTTTCCTTTCTTTTTTATTTATAAAAAAACATTATTACATAACTTTAGTATTGGGAAGGCATCATGTGTGTGAATAGTGCCGCTCTCTTTTGACCTATTATCAACACAGATAACTATAAAATAATTGTGTATTTATCTCTTTAGCGTAGCCTAAGTTATATTAAAGAAAAACATCTATCTATCTATCTATCTATCTATTCTAGTCTGTTCATATCTATCTATCTATCTATCTATCTATCTATCTATCTATCTATCTATCACCGTTTGTTCACATCTCTCTTTATATACAAAATGAGACACTTTTATAATATTTCGCTCATTTTGAAAGTCATATTAAGTCATATTAAATCATATTAAATCATTTCGTATATATATATATATATATATATATATATATATGAAAAATTTATCAAATTTATCAGAGTTGACCTGGGAAATAGGCAATATTTATCAGTGTTAAATATTGCCATACGTGACAGTATGTGACGAATTTTCATTCCACAATTTGAATATAATAGCGTGTTCTAAATTCTTTCAGTTTAGTTTTGTTAATAGTTACTTTGTTTTAATAAATTCATTTCTTTTTTGCCTTGCAAATGTTCACATTGGATGAAACGCGTCGGCTAATATTAGTGTTCCTATTCCCTTTTAAATTTATAAATATTTTATTAGAAATATAATATATATATATATATATATATATATATATATATATATATATATATATAATATAATATATACAATAAATTAATATATATATATATATATATATATATATATATAATAATAATAATATTTCCATGGTCCTCGGTGTAAACGTGATAAAGAAAAGTAAAAAAAAAATTAATTACGTCTATTGAGATTAGGATTTACTTCGCTTATCTTATAAAAAAATATTAACTGCCTTCATCTCAACAGTGGGAAATAACGTGTTTGTTTTTTTTGTTTTTTTTACAGTGAAATAAACAGAAACAAATTCGCACCGACCTGAATTTTGCCATAAACTTTGCAATGTATTCGACCATATAAACATATTTTTACTAAATCTAGCATAAATTAATCTCAGTCTGGCAAAGATCAATAGATTGAATATACTAAAACTGTGGATTGGTTCAATAGAAATACCTCATTATCTTTCCTATAACGTAGGCTGTTATTTTTCGGATACACTTATTTAGTAAGCTTAGTTTTACTGTCATATCACGTTGAAACACTGATTCCCGTACGACCATCGAAGTTAAACAATGTTGATCCTGGTCAGTAGCTAGATGGGTTACCATTTGGGAATACGAGGTGCTCTAAGCATGGATAGACGAGGGATGTAATGAATAATGATTCGTAATGAGGAATCGGAAAGGCGAGTTCCATTTCCCGTTTCTTTCGTTACATTCAGTTAAGCGCAAAGACTATTGGAAATGGTATGATTCCACATATTTTTCCACCCTATATAAGGGTTAATTAGTAAGACATGTATCCCTAAACTATCTTCATTTTAAAACAAATATCTTACAATCCAAACAAGTTGTCTGGCTTTAAATAACCTGCATAGCAGTAGACAGCGAATCTACCCATCGATATAATAAGCTTAATTTAATCTGGCACCAAAACACTGTACTTAGAAACCAGAACAGAATCAAAATAATGATACCAACAAATTTGATAGGAATATGAGCTCATAGAAATTTATATTTGTCTTCTTTTTTGTGGGGGTGGATATAGGAAAGTTTCAGTATAGCCAACATTCGAACAGATGATGCTAATAAACCATGTGTGAAATTAGCTTCATAAGCATCAGGTTACGGCAAGCAACCAGTGTAAGTTTGTTAGCAACGATACGGAGAATGCTCGTTTTTCGGTTTCAGTTCCTTCATTTTATTTCTTTAATTGTTTCATTTCTTTTTCAGTTAAAGTTGTTGAGATGAGGCGTCACTCAGTAGATCTTTTTTTTCAGGTAGCATAAATTTTACAGTGTGCTGTGTAGCCAAAACTTCGAAGGTAATTCCGCTAATAGGGGACGTTCTCCGGACTATAAATACTCTGCGATATTTTTTCTCACATTCTCCTTAATTTTCCGCTTACACGTCAACTTGTAAATCTCTAGTGTAAAACGTGTGTCCGATTTGTTTACCTAGGAACACACAACGAATACATAACACTTACACCCGTACATACCCATTTTCACTCACTTCAAATCCTTTGAATATTAAATGTGTTCACATGATTTTTTGCACACATAATTGTCATTGTCACTTGTATATCTTGTTAAAACATTACTATTTGTTTATTCCTATATATTGGTTCTTGTTGTGTCTTGCTATTTTTCATGGCGGGCATGCGAATCCTCAATTTTTGTTGTGGGTACTCCAGGAAACACGTGTTTTTCCAATTCAAACACCGGATGTACACTAACACCCACAATAGTATCTTCCTGCACTAAAAGTTCAAGTCACCATTGGTATAATGGGATAATATGCTAATTATCTCCGAAAAACACAAAAATCCATATAAACACAGAAGATAATTGAACAAGGAGAACCCCTATTCAAATTATAATGCTATTAAGGAAATCTTCAAAGTGAGAGACAGTGTATGTTTAACAGAGAGTGAAAGTTGTCATCTAATTTAAGCACACGAATGCTTGGTTGAAATGTTATCTTCTAAGGTCAGACGTCAGTTATATTTTTTCAGTTGTTTGCTTCGGGGTGAAAGAAGAGCTGAACTAAAAAAAAGTTTGCATCAAGACTTATTCTCATATTTTTTTATTTTTTATTTTTTTTTTTTACTTACAGCGTCAATGTCTTTCTTTACCATAAATCTACACGTCCCAATTTTCATTCTATTTCGAAAATCTGGCCTTTTCATCTTTCTTTAATTTCTATTTTTAAATGCTTGCAATCATTTCTCTTTCAGAATTTCCTTCTGTTCATTTAACTGGTATTATCTCTCTGGAAATCTCTCTCTCCATCTCTCTCTCTCTCTACAATTATATTTTTGCTTTTTGAATCGTTCTTTGCTTTTTCTTTCACCCAAATTTAATTTTTATATTCTCTTTTCATAGGTATTTATCTATTTTACTCTACAAAATGTATTTTATCTTTACATCTCCGTTTTCCTTCCTTAAATTTCTTTTCCTCTGTTCTTTTTTTCGTCTATCTTCCATTTTTTAAACATTTTTTTTATTTTCTATTTTTCTTTCTCCGTTTTAGATTTTTTATTATTACTCCACTTTTTCTATGTTTTCATTTACATCTCATTCTCAACACACTCTCCTTTTAAACATATGATTTTAACATACATGTTACACTTTACCACGCCGCTTTTGTTTTGTTTTTTTTTCAATCTTTAACATTACAAGTAATCGTTGCATAATTTACATACTCTTTTTATCGTCGGTAAGAGAGATAGTTTTCTTTCAGTCTTATAAATGAAGAATATGAAGATTAAATGTTACTCTTTATTTCCCTCTCATTAAAAGATATTTGAGCATTTCATAACACACTCGATATCATGCATACAATTCAATACTGTTTAGTCTTGGTATTCTCGCCGAAGAGGAATGTGCTTACAATTAATGTATGTAAAATAGGATTTGAAAGGAGGCTCAAACGCTGTTCCATTTACTTTGGATCTAAACCTATTCGAGAACATTTGGGGAATTATCAACACGACAATGTATAATATTAAAAAAAACGACTTTGTGAAACCATTTTAGCAGCTTTCGAGACTATTGACTAAAAAAAAAAAAATAAATCAATTTCTATTAAGAGTCGGTAGTTTAATGTTGTTAGAAAAAATGTATATAAGATCAGTAAATAATTGTAACTTATTTTCTTTATGCCAATCGGCTTTGCATGAGCCGTTATCAGGGCCGGCGCTAGGATCACCCCACAACTTTTATACAGGGCCCCCCTCTCTACTTCATGTCGATTTCATATTTCCCGACCTGGGGGTTACAGAATTTGATGGTAAATTTCAGGGAAATGTAGCTTCTTTTATTTTTTTAAATTACCAAAAATCAGGGAATAATTCAATATAAATGAAAATTTCAATACATATTCATTAATTATTTATTTTTATAATGGACTGGTTTTTATTTTTAAAAATCTAAGAAAATGTTATTCTTTTTGTAATAAGCACCAATATTTTCATGACGAAATTTTACTCGAAAAATGTATTTAAGTCGCAAATTTTGACATCTCCATAATGATTAATCGCTGATGCATCTCCGTTGAAAAAAGATTTTTACAAAGTTTACGACACAAGACAAATGAGATTGTCTTAAAAATATGTTTTAAAAATACTATTTCAGTTTTCGGGAAAAATTTTTGTGTTGAAATCTTTAACATTTTTTTTTTTTTTTTTTACGCGATCATTTTCTCGGTTATATTCTAGAAATTTTATTTTAATTACTAGTCGTGGATTTCTGGTTAGTATTATTATTAGTAAAAATGTTATATCGGAATAAAATGTCGCTGCCGATACTTGACTTTGAACATAGATCGCCAATGAGCAAACACACGCGATCCCATTTTTGAATTAAGTAGATCACGTGCCCATAGAAGGAACGCATATATAGGAAATCACATGAAGTCTAGATTGATCATTATTTCTTGTCTATCCGCTATTTTCTATTCGGATCACCATTTCTACTCTATAATCTATTACTATACGGACAATTCTCTACTCTATTCACTATAGTATTTCTCTATTCGGATAAATATACGGATTATTATTCGAGCGAGAATTATCGAGCAAGTGCTGTTAGTGCGAATGATATTCGAAAGCGCCTGACTCTGGTATTGTTCAACGGCATAATATAGTTGTATCTATGATTGCAAAGGTTCTACTACAACGACTATTCGTTGGCATCACGAAAGTGGCAACGAGGTTTTGTTGATTTCACAAAAATAAAAATAAAAAAAATCAGATCCTTCTTAGTGTATGAACTCGGAATAAAAATCAAACATACCGAAATATATTAACCTCTTAATTGATTTAAAAGAACTGTTTACAATCAAAATTACATTTGAAAAAAAAAATATATATGCGCGACTGAAATTAGCACTTCTGTACCACTCTCCAATAAGCATGTAAAACTCCATGAGGTTTGCGGTAGTAAGCAACGACCCCGTCGATTATTATATTTGATGACAATATAACTTAAGTAGTATAAAGTACAAGATGCAAAACAAAACGCTGAAACTCGTCCTATTCGAGTTCCATTCTTGTCGGAGGTTTCTGCGTTATACGCACCCCGCCAATCCTGAAGATACATTATGTATATTATTAGTTGATGAATGACAATATAAAGTTTAAAACCAATTTTAAAAAATGGCGGATGGCCATAAAACAATACTGAGAAAAAGGCCAGAGGTCACAAAGGGACCCGAAAAATCGCTTTCCCCGGTCGGCAACTGGCCGTTATTCATATAATTCCTTCAATTTTATTTTTTGGTTTCTCAAGCCTTTCACTTTCTTATACGTATGCCATTACATAAATTCTTGAAAATATTGCAGAGAGTCTGTAACATTCTAAAAAGATGTATGTTGCTACATATTCATGGCTAACTGATATGCTATTTCATTGAACGTGTACGTTTTCAGGATATTTCACGTAAACAAAAAAACAAAAAAAAAAAAAAACGAAAAAAAATCATAATTGACCAAAGTCTTTCAGACTTCCAAAGCATTAGTTATATAATTACAGTATATTTTCTTCGCATTTTCATAAAATGTTGGAAGATACTGTAGGGAATACAGGTGCGAGAAAGAATCGATTCAGGCACACGTTGTTAGGAATTCTGTACTTTAACACACCTATAATTTATTTGATCTTGTCTCTTCAAAGTGGAAAGCAAATTCTGCTTCGACACCTGCCTCTTAGTTTCCGTATATACTTCTCTCAATTCCTTAGGTGAAATGTAAAGCGGTAATATCTCCAGGGTTTTTAACGTCATCAGCTGTAAGTTCCGGTCAGAAATGCGAGTAGCCAAATGGACAGAATCTAATTTATCGCTCAGCGAATAGCTGGCATATTTTTAAAGAATGAAGACATTACTGATAATACTCGCTGCTTTTGGATTCATAACCCGGGAACTTTACATCATTAATGAATGATGGCAAGAAAAGAAAAAGAAAAAAAATACAAAGAAGAATGAATGGACGGAAGATGCTAAAAGAAAAAGAGAAAAAAGTTAAGAAAGAATATGGTAATAAGAAACAACAAAAAGAAAGTACTTACATTGCCTGGAGTCTCCCGAATTCAAAAAGAACGACAAATATTTCTTCTTTTCTGTTG